TGTGGACAGCCTCTGGGGCCCGTGGCAGGAGCCAGTGTGAGCGCCCCTCCACAGCGTGTGGACAGCCTCTGGGGCCCGTGGCAGGAGCCAGTGTGGGCACCCCTCCGCAGCGTGTGGACAGCCGGTAGGGCCCGCAGCAGGGGCCCACTCCTTCATAGCCTCCTGACAAGGACAAAGCCCCAGGAAAGAGTTCACCCCAGTCCCCCGACACCACCAAGCCATGGGACCTCAGGGCCAAGCCATTCCTCCCAGCCTGCGGGAAGCTTGGCATGAATGTGAAATGTCCATTCAGAGTGCCCAAGACTAAGCTGGACCCAGGAGCTGCCTCCTGACCTGGGACCTGGGACCGGGAGCCCTGGGGACCCGAGGTGGGCAGGGGAGGGTCTCACCGTGTCTCCTTCTTCCCGCCCTGGATCCACTGCTTCAGCAGGTATTCGTAGTAGCTGTCCGCCCTGGCGCCCAGCGTGAACACGCCCCGGTGCGTGAAGTGGCCGCTGTGGGTGTTGATGAACATGGGCACCAGTCCGTCCTTCTTCCCAGACAGGGAGTGGACACGCCGCGTCACCTCTTCCACGGCCTCCTGCAGCAGGCAGGCGAAGCTCCCAGAACTGATTCACTCCCAGAGGAGGAAGGGCCCCCCATTCCTTATGCCCACCTGCACTGCAAGGCATCTAATGCCCTATGTCTCAGGGGCACAGCTCAGCTGCTGCTGCCCTAGGTGGCCAGGTGACATTGACCATCCCTACTGACCACTGGGTTCCCCTGCCCCCTGAACCCCAGGTTCTCCTAGTGGGGACAGGCACTGCCCCTGCAGTGGAAAGCAGGCATACCACGCACTCAAAGCCCTGCCTCTGTCCTTCCTCTGGACTCCTGCTCACCCCTACCAACCAGGGATCCTCAGACCCTCTGTCATCTCTGGCCTCAGGGCCCCCCGCAGTGAACACTTGTCTCCTGGCGCTCAGGACACTGTGTTGAGGGATTCCAGGTACAATGTGTACAAGGGACGCAGGTACAGCTTTGCATCCTTTACTATGTCAGCATCTTAGGTCTCACAAATGGCCGACACACTCAGCTGTCGGGCTGCACCTCCCACACAGACGGTGCATGACCTCAGATCTGCCCTGACAATGACCCTGCACAAATCCACTAAAACCACTGCAGCTAATAAACGGGGCCTGCAAGGCTGCAGGACTGGAGACCAACACAGAGATCATTCTTCTGCACCTGCACACAAAACCGCTCAAGAACAAGAGTCTGAAAACAATGCCTCATTGGAATAGGACCAAAACCAATAAAATGCTCATGAATCAATTTAACAAAAAGTACAAAACCTGTACAATGAAAACTACAGGACGTCATGAAAGAAATTAAGACCTAAATAAATTGAGAGGCTTCCTGTGTGATAACCTTTGGTTTCTATATATTTGCCTATTGCATATGAGTGAGACCATACGTTTGTTCTTGGGTATTTTTTCTTTTGTGAAACACTTAGTATTGTTAAAGTGCCAATACTCCCCAAAGTGACTATACAGTCAACAAAGTTCCTATAAAAGGCCCAGCCTACTGTTCTGCAGAAACTGACAAGTTGATCCTAACGTTCATATGGAAATGCAAGGAACAGAGATTAGTAAAACAAAAATCTTAAAGAACAAAGTCAGAGGACTCATACTTCCTGACCTTAAATCACTAAGCAACAGTAGCCAAGACAAGATAGTACCGGCACAGGACAGACACCTGCCATGTTTTCCACAAATAATGCATCCACACACACAATATGCATAGTGCACTTAGGAGAGTAATGTGGGACGGGGTTGTGCAGCTGGCCAAAATCATGTAACAGTGTGCTATTTAAGTAAAAATACGGTAGATTAACAGAATAGAATTCAAAGTCCAGAAATAAACTAGTCATATATATGGTCAAGTGATTTCCCACAAGGGCACCAGGTCTATTCAACAGGGAAAGAACAGTCTTGCAACAAATCGTGCTGGGACCGCTGGATAACCACATGGAAAGAACGAAGTTGGATCCCTACCTCACACCACATACAAAAGCAGCTCAAAATGGCCTCAACTGCTGAGCAAATATGTCCATCACAAAAGAAAAAATACCCAAGAACAAACGTATGGTCTCACTCATATGCAATAGGCAAATATATAGAAACCAAAGGTTATCAGCGCATATGAGGAGTGGGAGGGAAACAGAAAGAAGGAGTTTTTGCTTAGAGGGCATTGAGTTTATGTTAAGCTGGTAAGTAACTTGGAAAAGGATAGTGAGAATGATTGTACAACTGGAAGAACGTGAGCAATGTTACGTGCAGAAATTACTGAATTGTGTCAAGTGCTATAAAAATATCCATATATGTAACAGAGCTAGCAGGAGGCAGAGTTATGACAACTACTGGCCACAACCAAACACCTTGAAGGAGTGAGTTGCTGGGCCTGTAGGCTTAGGACCACGGTCACAGGAGCTATCAGGATTAATTAACATAATACAGTACACAAAAACACTGTTCTACATTCTGCTTCAGTAAGTAGCAACTGGGGTCTTAAAAGCTCGTGAGTGGCCATCAAAGATGCCACTATTAATCTCTCCTTGTCTGGAGCAAAGACGAGTGAAGGAGGTTAGAGACATATGGATAAAATTAGTCAAATGGATTAGGGGACCATGGAAACCCCAGCCTACATGACCCTGAAACCAGAACTATATGGTGCCCAGCTACCACTGCCAACCACTTGGAAAGGGATCAAAATTGGATAGAGTGGGAGAAAAATGTGAAACTATAAAAAATAAAAGAATAAAAAACAAATTAAATGTTTATGTGCTTCCAAAGACTTCTCCAAAAGAGTCAAAAGAGAACCTACAGATTGGGAAAAAATATTTGGTAATAACATATCTG